CCTCCCAAGTAGCTGGGACCACAGGCACCCACCACAATACCTGGGTATTTTTTGGTTGCAGCCCTCGTTGTTTGACAGGCCTGGGCTGGATTCGAACTTGCCACCTTAGGTGTATGTGGCTGGCGCCTTAGCCACATGAGCCACAGGCGCGGAGCCAACTGGATTGTTTAGGAAAGACTCCAACAGTCATCTCTGCTGTCACACCATGATAATCATCAACACAGAAGGAGACTTCTATGACCAAATTTCAGGGGGATTTCTCCTCACTACCAAGTAGGCACTCAATTCTGCAGCAGAAACCAACTGAGTGTCCTTTAATTTGATTCTGGTATTTACCTGGAGACTGTCAGAACCCACAGGTTGAGGGCTCATTCCCCAAAACTGCCCCCTTTCTTTAGGCACTGGTCACAAGTTCAGGCACAGAACTATGGGAAACATGTTTAACAGTTTCTTTCTTTCTTTTGTTTTTTTCACAGACAGAATCTCACTTTATTGCTCTCAGTAGAGTGCTATGGTGTCACCGCTCACAGCAACCTTCAGCTTTCGGGCTTAGGCGATTCTCTTGCCTCAGCCTCCCGAGTAGCTGGGACTACAGGCGCCTGCCACATCACCTGGCTAATTTTTTGTTGCAGTTTGGCTGGGTTGGATTTGAACCCACCACCCTCGGTATATGGGGCCGGTGCCTTGTTTACCAGTTTCTTACAAAAAGTATTAAAATAACTAAAAATACTGCCCCCAGGCCTGGCCTTTAGTAGCTCAGCTTCCTGTCCTCGGGTGATACAGATGAGGAGATGTGTAGAGTATAGTATGTGGGAAGGGCCCTTGAGCTTCCATATTATCTCCAAGTCCACCATCTAGGAACCTAGATGTGTCCAGCTATCCAGAAGATCTCCAAACCCTGTTGGTTTTTTTTTTTTTTTTTGCAGTTTTTGGCCAGGGCTGGGTTTGAACCTGCCACCTCTGGTATATGGGGCCCACGCCCTACTCCTTTGAGCCACAGGTGCCGAGCCTCTATATATAATTTGAAATACTTTCATCCAACTAGTTAACATAGTCTTCATGTCTTTTTCTTAGTTATTGTGTTAAGACATTTATATTCTACATTTAGAGAGATTCACATGTACCCTTATAGGATGAACCATAGGTGTGA